TTTTCCGTGAGGACAGTCATCAAGTGTTTTATTACACGTCTCAAATAAAAATTAACACTCTGGTTGTCTTTATAATTACTCAAGCTCCGCAGTTAATCCTTCTACGACTGACAAACCACTTGAATTTCTTTATTAAACTTTTTTATTACTATGCTACACTCGGTGCTTTCAAATTTGCATTGGGATCAGTATTTTTCCTTGAGATAAATTAAATGTTTGCCTGACGTACAAAACATTTTGCATGTCAGTTGTTAACTCTCTAATACACACCAAACAATAAATAAAAACTTCTCGTTTGTCCACCGGGTCGAATCGCTTGGCGTTCGTGTGTTGTTTTCCCGCAGTCTATTAAAGACGCACTAACCAAGGGTTAAGCTGTTAATCTGTTGCTGCCTTTACGAGTAGGTTATGTTTGTTGCCCCAGGCAGCTGTGCAGTTTTACAGAGCATCGCTCGCCTAAGTAAAAAATTTCGGGTTCTGTGCACACTACGCCAGAGAAGTTTGAAAACGGTGTTTTCACTCTGAAAACGCGTCAACTGTTTTCCGTCCAGGCTAAGCCGGACTGGAGAAATTTGAAAACGCAACAGTCGGTCATTTTGGATTTGTGTTTGAGAAAACTGGGGCAGGGAAATCACACGATTATCGTGACGTCATCGCTTTGGAAAAGGTCGGTTTTCAAAATGTTTTCCTTCCACACTAAAACACAAAGCTGTCGTTTTCAAATTCCTCCGTTTTGAAGAGCATTTTCGAGCTCCGTTTTCGAGACGGATTAGTGTGGACGGTAGGCCAAATCGGAGAAATAAAACGGCGTTTTCATATTTCTTCGGCTTATAGTAGCCTGGACGGGGCCTCTGAGGGAGAGCATAATTACGAGCATAATTTATCAGCGGCGAATAAAAGAAAGAGTATCACCGTCTTAACCCATCAAAGAGTGAACACTGCTCACTATTATCCTCCACCTTCCTTAAAAATTAGGGAGCCTAAGATTACCACGACGGCAGCGGCAACGGTAACGTCGCTAAACGAAAAGTTGAATGAGCAGAACAATGGCTGTGCACGTGCGTTATAATTCTTGGTACATTTCTTTGCCGTCCTCTGCAAAACAACAACGTGAAATGATCTTCTTCTGCGTTGTCTAGAGAACGTGAACCACGACGGCTAGTTTTTTAAATTTTTATTTGAATTCGAATTAATCGATGTGTCCTAGATTCAGTTTTCGTGATAGCTTTGACAGCGATAAACAAATTACAGTAAATGACTCTAGAGTACCACAAGATTCGTAAGAAAAATATAACCTCGTTTTTAATCGATGTTGTCCTCGACGTCGCCGTCGTGGTTTCCTAAACTCCCTGTTATGCATCAGACCAGTATAAGAGCCCACGCAAAAACAACCCAGTGTATCTATAGCGAGGTCTGTTAGAGAAGTGGTAGTAGGGATTTACCTCCCAGATTTCGCTTTCCACATTTGTATGGCCAGCTTAATGGAACACAAATCAAACAGGGAAAATAAAATGTGCTCGGGAGTTATGAAAATGCGATCTGTATAAAAAGTTTAAGTGTGGTACGGTGCAGCGTTCTTGAACGTTACTGTAACTTATGTTTGGCTATTGATGCAGCAGCTATCCGTAAAAAAATTACGATGAAACCCTTGAATTGACGACTCCAACCAAAGAAAAAGCGAAGCCTTGGCGCCGATGGCTCATAACTGCTGGATCCGGCTTGGAGTATTTCTACTCAGTAAATGGTTTGAACCCAGGAGTATCAGTAGTTCGTATAGTGTGATCGTCCGGGTTTGTAAGGCGCCGGTAGTTGTTGACATCTGTTAAGAGGCGTTTGTTCTAGGTTAGTGTACCAGCTTTCAAAACCGGTCTCTGTTTAGATGACTCAGGGATCCATTATCCAGCAGCTGTCCGGCTTGACTTTGTACGAGGTTGAACTGTCTTTTGCCTATAGAAAGGTTATTTTCTTTTGTGAGCAATTTTCTAGTGCTTTGACCAATATAGTAAATGGGTTTGACGCAGGACGTTCACGTACATCAGACAGATGATCAGGACTCACTAGAACTAACCAATCATTGTTGAGGAACTTGACACGAATCTTAGACACAAAAAATTAAATCCCAGTGAATCGTCAACGGACCAAAATTAACAGAAACAACTTTTTGCGTGACTCTGAAGGTGACATCTCCTCGGGTTTTTGAAACGTTAGTTACCACCAGCAACAGCGACAACGGTCAACCTTCCCAGCGGACAAACGGCAGGACGATCACACTCTTTGTCGACCTTGTTGGTGTGTCCTAATCCACCGTAGGAAAAAGGATGGCGGCTGTACATTTTACCACAATGCCTCGCGAACCTAACACAGCCCAAAAGGCACAAAGAAAGCCTTATAACTAAAATATTTGTCCCTGTACTAAGGACATCGAGCTAGTGGCCTGGGTTTGAAGATATTATAATGTTTCTTTACGTTTTTATGAACGTTGTTTAGGTTTTCGTGCGCTAAGAACTATGGGTGGATGTACCAGTCGCTATCTTTTTTTCTACCGCCATCTTTTTTTCTTTTTTCTGTTTTGTCCAATTTTTTGCAGTTCAGCGTTTGTGGCTTGACTCGTGTCTCGTTCTTTACCATTGATCTCTTTTCACCAATTGCACTCTTATATGGTCCTGGAAGGCCTCGCCATTGCCGCATCTGTTTAAGACTGTTGCCATTTATCACTGATCTTTTAAATCTTGTGCCTGGTGAGGGACCGCTCTGGTTGTGAATGTTTGTATGTAATCAATCTCGGTAGGTTTGGTTCTCAGTTTAATGAAACTCAGTTTTTTCTAAGTGTATTCTTCACAGCTCGTCGCATTTCTCCAAATCTCCAGCAGAAGACAAATGGATTCAAGAAGGAGTTAATGAAAACAACAGTTGCTGCAAAGTCATAGGCAATTTTTACTGTTAATGTGTATCCAGAAAATTTTTCTACGAAAATCATCGCATGAAATGGAAGATAAAACATCACAAACAAACCATAAACGTAAATTACAGTCACAGCAGATTTTCTACATTTGAGCACGTTTATCGTGTTACTTTGAACACTCTGCTCTTGTTGGCTTATCTGGCGCTGATGTTTACGGACGATTTGAAATATCTTCAAGGTGCTCAGGGCTGTAACAAGAAATGTTAAAAGTAATGTTACCGCTGGAATGGCAATCCAGTTTCTCACATAGAACCTCGACGTAATACCCGTTATAGAAAGTATCCAAACACACGCACTGATTTGAAACACGCGGGAAACGGTGACGATCGCGTTGTATCGTAAATGCAGGGTCAAAGCAAGAAGTTGATGAACTGAGACTAAGCTTAGAGTTACCAAAGACACACCAGTCGTTATCCAGCCGGGAATGTTATATATCATCCTCAAGGTACAGTACATGCTTAGATTATTCGCAAGTTCAGCCATCTTGTACGCCACGAAAAATGGTTGACAAACCAGTCCAACGAGGAGATCTGCAGCGGCGAGGCAGGACAAAAGGGTGAAAGATGGCGAATGAAGTTCCTGCGTTTTCCAGATCACATACAGAATAACAGAATTTCCCGTACATGTTATCAGAGAAAACGCTGAATTGAGAACACATATTACAATATTAGCTGTTTGCGTTTCGTTTCCTGTTTGGTCCAAATTTACCTTTAAATAGAAACAGGTTAGCTGTGTTTTGTTCATCGCGTGATTGCCACCTAAATTTCAGTAGCTGGTTAATCAGCTAACGAAAATGACAGCAGCAGATTACTAGTCCGTGGTTTGATGCTAATTGAACTTCTGAGAGATCTGTTCTACTTGTTGGTATTTGTTAACATTGGCGACTGTTCCTTCAATATTCAAAGAAAAATGTGACAAGAACGATGCATATAGTATCAACCTTTTTATCATACAACGCAAGCAGCTGTCTCTTTGTTAATTGCTGGTGCTCTATTTTTCTTAGTTTCAGGCGTGACTTTTAATTTGGGACTTTTCGCCTGTTTATTTTTAAGCGAGAAAATAGCTTGAGTCGTCTTAATTTTGGTTGCGAAAATACTAAAGTCTAGGTCATCTGTAAGGTATTTTTTTTTTTTAGTTAAAACTGAAGAAAACGCAGCCTTGAGTTAAAACAATAGTTTCTGTTTTCATGATTGCTTTTCGGAAGAAGAGCTTTTGTTGCACATAACATACGGGATACATCAATTGTGATGTTAAAAAGCATGACTGTTGTTTGAACGAAACTAGAATGAAAACGCAGTTGTATATTTACCTTTCAAAACAGTCTAAAATCTACCTGAGAAATAGTATTCAGATTTGGTCGGCATACAAATCTATGTGTTGTGGAATCACAGCGCAAGGGCCCTGCAAGGATAGCGACCACTGCGAGGTAAACAATTGGTAATTCTATTTACATAATGCAAGCAATAAGGAACTGCAGCCAAAAGAAAGAGTGC